CATCGAGAAACGAGAAGTCTACGATCCTTTCCCGATGCTGTTTCTAAAGAATTCTTGAGAATTCTTTCCGAACGTGTAGTCTAGTCTCGCATCGATCTAATCCCGGGAATTTCCTCGTAACCGAACCTCAGTAAGCACAATGTGTGCAAGTCAGCAATCAGGGCATGATACGATCACTACGAGGAGGTAGTGACGCCCTTCGGTCGAACCATTCTCTTGTTCATGTAGATAAGCAAAGCAGTCATACTCGTAGATCCTTTCAAAAGCTAAGGCAATAAAGAATTAGTCGACACCGAGAGCCCCCATGGAACCTGTCGATCTTTGGGTCCCGTCGGCTATGATCGTAGACTCACGTAAAAGTTCCCCTTAGAACCATTGGACCTTTAGTTACTCTGACATGTAAAAGCGTACCCACTTGTTGAAGGTTTTACCCTGGAAAGACATAGTACATCTTGGAAAGTGCGGAAAACTTAACTTGTGGAACCTTAGACCCTTCGAGATCTTCGTTAGGAATCGATTCCATAGCCCTCTCCGAGCTATCTTAAGGACTCAGTAGCAATCACCTGGTATTCCGCATCTTTATTCGTAAGGCTTGCCGACCTGACGAAACCCTAGTAAATTCCTTTGAGGAAATAAAAATCCAAATTTTCATGTATGAATCAATTGAGATCGTAGATTGAGAGATTAATCATGCGTAACAAAGCCACATCCTGACAGTGAGGGTTCGCTAGAATGTTAAGCGGAGACCCGAATGCAGTAAATTCATCCCCATATATCTTTCCACTTCATGATCTGTGTTCGAATCTTTGAATTTCGGGATGAAATTCCCTCTAACGGGGGGATAATGTAACAACCCGAAATTCATATCCTTAATTGTAACCCATTTTTGCGACTCGTTCCGATCATCCAATCGCCGTTTCCGATTTCGTTTCCATTTCCGACCTTTTATTAAGTCGTTAATGTGAATTTTATTTTATGACTTAATAAGTGTCTTAATACCCTTAGAACTCATTCTAACGTCTCATATTAATGATCGGAACATTTTTAGAACCAACCATATCGGGTTACGGCAAATTGGCCGGGTGCGACCAAAAGCCCCGTCTAACGCCGGTATCGGGTAGAATTCTACCATGTCCCGAACTTGGACACTATTTAAAGTGACTCAAGTCTCCATTTTGAAGCTTTTGCTCCATTTTACAACTATCACTCCAACCTCTCTCCTCAAACTAGATTTTAGGGTCAAAATCTCAAGTTTAAGGCTTCAAATCACCAAGGTACCTTCCCTAAAATTGTTATGCAATATCTTTAGCCCTCAAATTCGAGTTCAAACCATGGAATAGGACCATTAACATGAGTTTACGGCCCTAGAACAGTCCTAGGCCGTAAACTCACATAAAGAGGGTTTTTGGAGCAACAAAACCCTTCCAAATCTCAATTGGACCTTGTATATGGCTAGAGGACTTTATGAAATGGAATTAGAATGCCTCAAACCAAGATTTGAAGCTTTGTATATGAGTTTACGGCCTTGGAAGGTGCCATGGCCGTAAACACATATTATGAGGGTTTTTAAGCCATTTAACCCTTCCAAAACACAAACAAGACTTAGATATGATTTTTAGAATATTAGAATTGGACTTAGAACACTTCAAACACAAATTTTGAGAGGTTTATATGAGTTTACGGCCAAGGCATGTGCTTGGGCCGTAAACTCCTCAAAAAGGGGTATAAAATCAATTCTAAGGTGTTAGAAAGCCATCCAACACCACCAAAAGCCTTGGAATAAATCAAAGGACCAACCAAAAATAGTTTTAGGGCTTTAAAAACATCAAAACCCCACATATGAGAGTTTACGGCCATAGAACATGTCTCATGGCCGTAAACTCATAAAATGGTGTCAATTGGTGCCCCAAACTCATTTCTAGGCTTGTTGGAATTTTTAGAATCACATGTGATTAATTTTGGGACCTTAACAACTCTTATTCTATGAGATATGTGAGTTTACGGCCATAGAACCCATGCCTAGGCGGTAAACTCCTTTAAGTGTTGCATTTGATGATTTTAATTCAATCCAAGCCTTAGTTAAAATTATTCCAAGCATTTCCAAGTGTCCATACCCCTTTGTGAGCCATTAAACACCATAAACCCACCCCTCTATGAGTTTACGACCGTAAACTCATGGGGAATGGGTGTTTAGGCTGTAAACATCATTAGGGAGTTTACTTTTGGGGAGTAAACTCAAATCCCAAGTCCCACGCTTCAATTCACGTCCGTAGATGTCACTCGGGTCACTCCAAACACCCGTTTTGAGGTGTTTTCGTTCGTTGGAGTGTAACTTCATATCTAATTAGAGTTTGTAAATCTAATTAGATATATTTGTATGCCATTTCATTTTACATAGGAACCTCGCGTGTTATCAGGCCTCGATTCGACGTTTAGCATCCGAAATCGACACATTTCCGCGTCCGGTGAGTTCATACCCCTACCCTTTTTCAATGGTTTTTCAATGTTTTCAGGGGGGAATACAAGCAAAAGTACAAGTATATCTTGTACTCAATCACATGATTTCAATTAAATGGTTTCATAATTGTACACTTTAAGAATTGAAAACCTTTTAAACAAACCGTTTTAACTTGCAGAGTTGTTTGTTTTTAACCCGATTTTCAATTCTTATTATACACTGTTATATTGTGTACTTGATAATTGATTGTTCACATTTAAACTGATAGAATACATAAACCATTGTAATGTCTGTAATAAAACACTAAGGTTCGAGTGTAAAAGACAGACTCCATTAGAAAACATGAAACATCTATATGTCCTTAACAATACACCTAGGCTCGAGTGTGATAGATAAATACACCTAGGTTCGAGTGTAATGTCCTTAATAATACACCTAGGGTCGAGTGTAAAAGGACAGCCATCATTAAATAACACCTAGGCTCGAGTGTAATGTCCTTAATAAAACACCTAGGCTCGAGTGTAAAGGACAGGTACGTAGAATAAAGTCAGTTGTAAATACTACTTTCCTAGTCGAAAAGTAAAGAGTAATCTTAATGATTGGAGACACGTCCTTGTAACACTTCCATGGCACAAGATAGTGGAGGACTAACCCTGTAACCAGAATCTCCATTCGTAGGAGAGCGTGGCTTGAGTGTATAGATCTATACGGGATTGACAATCCCACACCTGGCTGCTAGTTACAGCCGAACCGAAAGGTTCAAGGGTGACGAGAGTCATAAAAAGGATATTGACCATGGTTCGAGTCATATCTAGTCTGAGTATGGTTAAGGACTCGCAATCTAGATTATTAACGTTTCAGATTCATTTACTAGCTTTATGTACGTAGTAAAGCTAATGTACATTTAGGGATTGCAGATACACCCACAGTCAGGAAAACATGGGGTTTTCCTGGGGAGAACACTGAACATAAATAAAACCAGTAAAGATATACACATAGTCAGGGAAACATGGGGTTTTCCTGGGAAGGACACCGAACATAGTCAGAAACTAGTAACAGTTCACACACACACACAGTCTGGAGAACATGGGGTTCTTCCTGAGTAATAGTAGTACGAAATTAGAGAAGTGTAATAAGTTAAACAATTGAATTACATTTCACAAGAACAATCATGTTTTAATTAAACATCGTTTACTTTACTTTCGGATTTGGAAACTAACTTTACATAAGAAAATATGGGATTTTCTTGGATAACTACTTTTCAGGAAAACAAAGGAACTCGTACATTTTCAGAAAAACTAACCGCTTATGAACTCACCAGCTTTATGCTGATTTTCAAACCGCTTGTATTCTCAGGTCCGAGTTAGACAGGTACCCGAAGATCCTTTTGTGTGAAGTCGGAGTTCTCAGAAGACTCATTTTGTATTGTTCATATATACTATGTATCACTTGTATAACTTATGCTTTTGAAACAAATGTAAAACTTTCATATATGTAATGTAATGGTTGATTTACTTTACTTACTATGTACATTGGATTTGATACTCTACGTGGAGTCAACCCCGGAAATGTTTCCACCTTCGGTTTTCGGGGTGTGACAATTGCTCTAAGCCTAGTTTGAATAGATACAACAACTTGTTAATTATGTGAAAAATACAACCGGAGAGTGGTCTACCTTCATAATACCAACAACTAACGAAGTAGGAATGAAAGAGAAGGCAATACTCACAACAATAGCTGTAGTAAATGCATCTAGGTCCTACAAGATCATACAAATCACTATTTAAATACACACTACATATAAAGGTGTCAATATTCTGATTGCATGTACTTAATATATAAGACTCCAACAATAAATAGAGATGTTATGTTACCTTGAGACACCTTTGAAGGGGATCCAAAAGATAATCTGTAGTCTTATCAACTTGGATGAATCCCATTGTTGTAACAGATATTTCAAGAAGAATATGACTAACCAGATATATAAACATGTATGTATAATTAATAAAACAAAATTAAATGATGAAGATATAAGATTCTGTTATTCAAGATTCTGAAATTTTTGTAATTATTTTTTGTTATTTTTTTCTCAATTTAATATAAGGGGCGGGACACAAACAATATAACTAAGGGGCAAGAGGTTACACATTTTTAATACAGATAACTTTTATATTTTAATAGTTATTCTTTTTTTTTCACCATTATTTATGGTCAAAGTGAAGCAACCCTTGGTGAGTTGATGCACCTGCTTCACTTGACCACTAATTTAGAAATGCATGTTCGATATGTCAATCTTTTGTCTAAAGATCTACTGTTTGGAAACTTGGTAAGATTAAAAATCTTTGTAGGTATGGTTAGCCATGTGATCAGTTACTCACGTACAGTCTGTGTAAGCTTTTCCACATGATCAGCAACCTTTTGTCGATGCATTTTATCCATAATTTTATTTCCCTCCTAAAAAACAAAACCATAATTTTATTTTCCTCCATGAAATCAATATTATTTAAAGATTTAAATATTAAAAGCATCATACCTAAAAAATTTATATCAGTTTCATCAACTCCTGATTCTTGTTTTGAACATTATCCACCATTGAAGCTTTTACTAATGCAACGTAAACGGTCCTTTCAGCGTCAAGTAAAGCAGCTTCCTTTGACTTTGTCAATCCATCTAATGCTTTGTTGTTATCTGGTAACTTTGAAATCTGAAAGACAAAAAGGAAGCATGAGATTTTTATAGTTTCTAAAATTATTTTGTAGCACATACCTTTTATCGAGCAAGTTTGAGGTCAGCCTCCAATGGTGCAAGAATGGCTTCAATTGGTGACATGTCATCATCTTTTTTAGCAACATGAACTCTTCATAGAGTGGCTTCTTTTGCAAACTGTGCTACCATTGATGCTTTCTTTTCATCATTGATATTCTTGATTTCAAGATTCTACAATAACAAAAAGTATATCTTGTTATATGTAACAATATGATGAAAACAATGTAAAAGGGGTTGAGGATTGAGGTGGTTTAGTCAATACTTTGCTTTCTAGAAGATATTCTATCAACTTCAGGTTCTCATCTACCTTTGACAATTATTCAGTTAGCTATGCTGACATGAAAAAAAGAAGAAAACTATGTCAAAGTTAACCCCTAGTGTATAGATATGGCATTATGAAAAATACAGGAGATAATAAAAGGGAAAAATGGGAAACACAATAATCACATAACTACCCCGTGATTATTGAAGCTTTTGCACACATTACATCATTACTAACAGGTGCAAATCCATTTCCAAATGAAAGATTCAACCCCATAAGCTTTTTATGAGAAGTATTCACAAGAATAGTAACATCTTAACTTCCATCATTACCCATTAATGACCAACCCTCATCAGGAAACCCATTCAGAGCTTCATTAAAACCCCTGAAGAATAAAAAATTTACGAATTAACCCCCTTAAAACTTATCAAATTGCAAAATGGTTCTTATGGATTTCCTCCGACTTAATCCTATTAATGTTGCAGGTCTTCTCCCTTAATTTGCACTACTAGAATTCGAAGCTTATAGAGCTATCTGTCTTAGCTGGCGTAAATCGTGCCACATATTCAATTTTCTATTAATTAAGTAAAATGACATAAGGGTATATTTGGAAACGTTATGGATTTGAAATGTTGTATTACCATCATTGTTTTTTGAGCAAGAATAGTTGGAGATTCATATAAAGGACGCAAGACTTTAGGTACCCTCCATGCCTAATGAATTATATAAAAAACTAATTTAGAATATTAATGGAGTTTAAATATGAATATATTTGAATCTAGATAAAGTATATAGTTTGTTTGATGATACCTCTAAGTTCATATAATCAGCAATGTGAATAATGGAGCCACAACATCTTCATAAGTAGAAGGTACCCCTTCTGGTGATTTCTGAGATTGATCATCAGCTTTCACATTGCTTCCTCTGCAATAAAAACAAACACATCACCACAGTGGGTCCGACATAAACAAAGAATACACACACACACACACACACCCCTTGATGAATAGTGTCCATCATCATAAGCATGTTGTTCCCTTTCTCTATCAGAGCTTCTACTTCTTCTGCCATAGTTTTCAACATCAAAGCTTCTTCAACCTCTGTTGTATGCATCATCTTTAGTAGTACAAAGTGAAAATCTTCTATGTAATCGGTGATTAAAAGGAAGATTTTTGTAAATTCTGGGAGTTTTATAACAAGGGATCAGAACATTAGAAAGATAAAGTGATATGAAGATGTATAAGGGAAAATTAGTTATTTGATGATATCCATTGGAGCTAATAGCATACCTTGTTATTTCCTACAATTTTCCTTAAAAATTTAACATAAATTTTGAGGTATGTTGTTATCATAACCAATTTGGTGATATCCATCATCATTTTTTGAATTATATATCCTAATTGTTCATGCATTCACACAAATGTAGATATATCAAACAACATAGGGATAATGCATTATGTAAGTCATTTCTTGGGGTAGCATTACCTTGCATGTAGTCATCTAGTAATGGTGTCGCCCTTTCTGTCAATGATTACAATAAGTGTCACTTAGTGTAGATATTTCATAGATATGTTATACTACAGTTGCTTGGGTAGTACCTGAATCATGATTTTCAGTTACTAGCTTCTTCCATACCTAATATAGGAGATAATATTGACATTAGAATGTATTCTAGACAATAAATGCATGTATGAAGACGATTTAATGATAGCATATTCCATGATAACATGAAACGTCCAATTAATAATATTGCTCCAGCTCCTCCATCATTATTATCATGGTATAAGTGGTACATACATGAATATGATACATCTAGTCTTCAGGGGTAAAAGAGGTATTTTATTTCACCTGAGACTGTAGCCTTCCTAACTTCTTTATGGAAATAGAATTTAAGAAGTGGTACTAATGTTGGTGCAACCTGTTTTTTATTAAAAAGTTAAGCCGATTTTTTTCAAATGTAAAAAGACAAGAAAGGGTAAAAGAAGAATTTCATTTCACCTGATCAATCCATAGGAAAACACTTCTTTTAATTCATCAGCATAGCAACATAGCATGTTGCATGTTGTAGCTTTCTCGTGAAGGACACTAGTTTTGATCCCTATTATCTTATCTCCAAGTGTAATAGTCTCAATGCTGCAATATCAAAGGGTAAAATGGTCATTAACTCTCATTCAAACATTTCATTTATTAAAAATCACACTTTCATCATCAGACTCGTCAATGTCATCATCTGAATCATCAGCAGAAGTAATTGTAACATCTGGTTTAAGTTGAATGAAATGAAGCAATGGTGGCATCACAACATTCATGTAAGGGAGAAAATCTTGCCCTAGGCACTTGTAGAGTCTTGCCCATGCCTACAACAAAAATTTATAATTATAAATTTATAATCTTTAATTCAATTTGTTTTAAAAGATTAAGTTTAAGAACAGAAAAAGAAAAGAAGCATACTTGTAACATCTAGCTTATTGTTGGATCATTTGTCTCCAATTGGGAACCTTGAAGTGACATAAGGACATCCATAACCTTGGAACATGTAATAAATTATAACTTTCCAAGATGAAAAAATAAAAACATTTGTGAATTACATATTTATAAATATATATAAGTATACGTGTTTAACATCATCTTTGAACTTATCTTTTCCAACAGCCATTCCAACTAAACTAATACACTCCATGGATTTGGCACGAAGCATACAATTAGCTTTATCAGTTGCATTCATGAGTATAGCTTTCAAGTATGGCATAACTGCATCATAATACTTTTGAAAATGTCCTGGAAGCGCCCCTTCTGATTCAAGCTCACTTATGATGCTCTGTACGACCTAATAACAAACAAAGTGTTATTCAGATTTCTCAATCAGCTCCAAAAAACTTAACTTTTTTTATTAATAAAGCCAAAAAATGACAAGGAGGCACACATACGTGAGGGAAGCATATAGGAATTCCCATGTCAACTTCAATCAGTCAAAGGTGGGTCAACAGAAACAGGATACCATCTGATGACTTTTAGTTCAGAAAAAAACTAGTCTCCTGGCATTTCATCGAACAGCTTGACTACATAATCTTCATGAAATGCATCAGGAGTGTTCCTTGAGTAGTTATCTGCTTCATCATCTGGCCCAAACTCATTAAAACTGAATTATATATATATAATGGAAATGTATTTAGAATATACCTTTGTGGTTCTTGCAAAGATCCAATATTAGTAAGGACAAAGGGAGTCATCATAAGTTCTTTCTTGAAGGAGCTATCTTCCTTAATCAAAACACTAATTTCATCAAAAATTGACAAGAGAATCCAAGGCTCAGAGACAAGTTCTGGAATGCGATTGAACATATAGCCTTTATAAAATTGGACTCGAGAAGGGTCTCTGATGTCTAATGAAAGTACATCGTTGGAGTCTGGTGAGAGCATTATCTAGAGTAGGATTGCGAGAACTAGAAGCTGCAACATAAATACATATATTATATAGATATATCATATCTTTCTTCTATTTCCTGCTTCTAATCCCAAAACTTGAACAATAGCTCTTCTTCCTCCTCCTTGACCTGGAATCATATGAATCGTCTGAACCATTGATGAGAAGAACTTGAAGATGAAATATGGAAACAGAGGTAGAGGAGAATAAGGGAAACTAGATACAATAAAAATGAAGGCCAAAGACCGCCTAAGAAGTGATCGATGCCAAAAAATAGGGGGGGAATGAAAATCGCTAAAATCGCATGAGAGAATCCATGAATTTTAGGGAAAATACCACCAGTTGTTTGGGGTTTTTCTTAGTAGCAGGATTTTTATAATTCTTTTGGGATTTCATTCTGTAATTTTTGGGAGTGCAATTCGATGATTGATGGTAGAAGGGTTTTTACAGAGAATGAAGATCTAGAGGAGAGGGTGAGGATGCGTATCACGAGTTGGTTAAAATAGTGATGGGGGGTTTTATTATCGGTGTAGTGCAACAGTAAAGAATGGTTAGAGAAGATGGTCGGAGACACTTGGTGGTGCGAGATCGGAGGTTAGGTGGTGGTGCGATGTTGCTATGAAGACGAAGGCCTAGGGCATTTTCTTGCTAATTGGAAGAGTCGGGGAGGGGGGGGGGGTTAATTTTTGGGATTCAATAGGCGGGTGAAATCCCGCCTTAAAAACGCATGTTTCATTAAAATATTATAAAGCGACACATTTAGACGACGCATATTTTATAAAAGGCACCCTCCGCATTTCCTTTTTTTTCTTTTCTGACACTAATTTTAGGGCACGCACAAACGCGTGTCCTCTACCCTTCAAATTTTTCAAAATTGACATTATTTTTTAGGGCACACACAAATGCGCGTCTTCTATCAGAGAGTGTCATTGTTTGCGCATCATTAATGGGCTTTTTTCTAGTAGTGCTCGCCCGATTTATATTGAATGTCAAAATTGTAGCCCAAGAGTTTAGCATCCCAGTTTTGTTGATTTGGGGATGTGATGCGTTGTTGTAATAGAAACTTGAGAATCTTTTGGTTAGTGTACACCACAAATCTGGTCCCCAGTAAATACGACCTCCAATGTTGAACTGCAAGGACCAAAGCCATAATTTCACATTCATATGCTGATTTTGATAGATTCTGATCACTAAGAGACTTGCTAAAATAAGCAATCAACTTATTATGTTGCATCAAAACTTCCCGAATACCCCTCCTGGAAGCATCACATTCAACAACAAAAGGAACCGAAAAGTCAGGTAAAGCAAGAACATGAGCTATGACCAATGCATTCTTCAAATTTTCAAATGCCATTTGTGCCTCCGAATTCCATTTAAAAGCATCTTTTTTGTTAAATTAGTTAATGGGCATGCGATACTTCCATAATTCTTAACGAACTTTCGGTAATAGCCCGTTAACTACAGAAATCCCCGAAGGCCTTTCAACTGTTTAGGCACTAGCCACTCCACCACGATATCTATTTTTGTTGGATCCATCATCGCACCTTTTCCATCCATGATGTAACCAAAGTATTCAATGTCTTGTTGTCCAAGTACACATTTCTTTTGGTTAACCATGAAGTGATTACACTCCAAAATCTGCAACACAGTCGCGAAATCGTGCAAATGGTCTTGCCATGTTGCATTGTATACCAAAATATCATCGAAAAAGATCACCACATTCTATCGTAACAAGGGTCGAAAAACATCATTCATCACAGCTTGAAATGTAGCAGGGGCGTTCATCAAGCCAAGGGGCATCACCAAATATTCATAGTGTCTGTGATGGGTACAAAATTCCATCTTCTCAATACTATCTTCATGCATTCTGATTTGATTTTAGCACAATTTGAGATCGAGTTCGAAAAAGTAACAAACTCCAAATAACTCATCTAACAGTTCTTCCACTACAGGAATCGAAAACTTATCGGGAATGGTTGCTTTATTCAAGCCCCTATAGTGTACATACATCCTCCAGGTATTATCCTTCTTGCGAGCCAAAATCACCGGACTCGAATAAGCACTTTTACTGGGTCGAATCACCCCTAAGTGTAAAAGCTCTTGAACTTGACGTTCAATTTCCAACTTTTGGACATGAGGGTAATGATAAGGACGGACACATACAGGTTCTTGAAGGTTTGCCAATGCGATAATGTGATCATGGGGGCGCGAAGGAGGCAACCCCCTGGGGGTTGAAAAACAACATCAAACTTGCGAAATAATACTTGTAGCTCACCCTACTGAACCAAGGATTCCCCTGTTTCTGCCATGGAATAAACCAAACCACTTGGAGTATCCTGCATCACATGAGGTCTGGGTGAGGAAGAGGGCTGGAAATGTAACCATTTGTGTGAAGAGGCTTGAGACTGTTGGCTAGGAGTTAAACCTTGCAGTCGAACCACCTTACCCTGATAAGAGAAACACATCCAGGATTTATCCCAACTATGCGTGACTTTGCCCAAGGTTTTTAACCATTCCATTCCCAAAATGATATCAGGACTCCCAGTGTTAAAAACTAACAGATTCAAAGCAAAAGAACAACCTCCCATCAGAATATGAAGATTGATACACTTCTCTGTTACACGAACCATGTGTCCATATCCCAGTTTAATGTTGATGCCATGAAATTGGATAGAAGAAATGCCTAACACAAGCACCAATTGTCGGGATAAAAAGTTGTGGGTTGCTCCACTATCAACCAAAACCACAATAGGAATTCCCAAAAGTTCACCATCAAATTTTAGAGTCTTACCTCCACTACATTTTGTAGAAGTACCGGTGATTTCCAATGTAGCACAGTGCGCCTCTTCACTTGGAAAAATTGAGGAATCTTCCGAAGGAGGTGTCTCTTTATACATGTAATGACTTCCCTCACCAGCTTCATCATCACCCAAAATGAGAACACGTAGCTTCCCATCAGGACACTTGTGGGCCGGTCCAAATTGTTGACCACATCGGAAACAGAGGCCTTTTTTCCAGCGTTCTTCCCACTCGGTACGAGTTAATGAACAAACACCACGATTACGAGGTGGAGTAGATGGATGATCGTGTGAAGATGCACCAGAGGAACGAGGAAGAAGAAAAGAATAGTTGTCTTCAAGATGTTGGGATGTCAAACGATCAATGGACTTAGGGCTAGAAAACCCTTTTGGATCCACCCGACTCCCACTAATGGACTTCATGTCCAACCCAAAATCATAACCCGGTCCAAAAGCGGCATGATAAAGAAAACGGGTTTAGGAGATATTACTAGTACCTGGTCGGAGAATCTCTTCAACGTCTTTTGCTGAATAAATCGCATCCAACGAGATCATGGACGTTGCAATTGAACCTACCGTTGCACTTCATCTTGTAAGTCGACAATAAAATACCCCATAACTTGCATCTCAGGCATCTTAAGAACCAGGGACATCAAATATTCAAAATCATCAATGTAATCATTGATGGAGGATGACTGGTGGATCGAAGAAAGTTGTTCATATAGATTTTAGATCTCCAATCCGTTGAAACACTGAAGTAATTCATCCTGAAATTTCTCCCGTGTGAGAGAATTATGAACCTGATGCACAATCGAGAACCAATGTTGTGCGACTCCAGTCATGCTGAGTTGAGCCAATCGAATATGAAGAGAAGGACCGGTACCATTGATGTCGAAGAAGAGATTGGCTCAAACCCATAATACTCTAGCAATTTCACCTTCTTCACCGCCCATGGCAAACCTCTGGAAGGATTACCAGAACCGCCTGACGGTGGAAGCGAACCACCAATGAAACCTGAATTAAGTATCCCAGAGGACTGTGGAAACGGAGAATCAGGACCCATACCAGAAGAACCACCGGAAGAGCCACCCGGTTCTGATGCTTTGTCTTACTTCTTCATCCAATTCATCATGTATGTTCCGAATCCCCCCATTTCCTTCTGTCCCTTGTCCATTTTGGATTGCATCACTGACAAATTGGCTCGTAATTGTGAAATATGCTCCTCATGGTGATCCAAACGTGAGTCGTGAGAATGAGTTTCCACAGTTGGTTGAAGCATTGCAAACTCAAGGTAGAGCATAGCAGGTTAGACCAATGATAAAGATTGAATACAAACTTTAGAGAAAAAGAATGATATAAATAGGAATGAATTGAAAATGAGAGAGGCATGCAATTGATAAAAAAGATAATCAAACTCAGTCACAAGATTGTTTAGGGAGCTGTCGCTCTCTCACAGAGCAAGAAAGCTCAAGAGCCAATACAAAGCATAACAAATAACATGACAATCAAAACAATTATTCCCCTCTCCTTTTATTCTCTTCTCTCTTCTTAACCACCTTAGCCGCTTTCCGGATTTTCCCTTTTAGAAAACACCATTAGTGGTCCCATTGTGCTCATTTTGTTAGGTATTAAGCTTGTATCCTTATCACTAAGGAGTGTGTGTTTGGTGTACTTCTTGAAGAAATCGATGTTTAAAGAGCTTGGGATGAGAAAAAGCTTATAGATCCAACATC